AATGACCCACTGAAAAAAAAAGATAAGTACATTACGCTTCATTATGCATCTAGGGAAAGCCACAACTATCACGCTCTGTAGTTTGTATCAGATAAAAAATGTTAAAGGAACTTTTTTTCATGTCTGTAATATAGTAGTTCTGGCAGGTTTAACTCCGCATATGTATTTATGTTTCTTCAATGGTACGAGCAAACAATGAAATGGCACACAAGACTCTTGCAACCATTGCAAATATCATTCAAAAGAATCCTCCCATATCTGCATTGCTGTAACGCGAAAAAATTGCCAGATACATAACTCTCCTCCATAACCAGTGAGCCAATAAATGAGATGTAACAGTACCAATACTAAGCTAAGGTATATGAAGCAAACTGGGTCTGCTCTGGTAACAACCAATGACAGGTATAGCAGTAAACAATGACTCCAGTTACAATCACAAATTTGTCACGTACTAAATACGACCAATGAGTTCATAAAGGTCACATATTTACCTTCAAGCTTCCCCAATGCTGACTTGATAAAATCGACGATCTCAGACTGCGAAGCAGCAGTGCTAGTGCTAGCCTCACTCGCCGCCGCCGCAGCAGCCACCTCGGGGCTCTCGGGGCTACAAGACAATGGCAGCTTCGTTAAACAGTCACAAGCCAGAACCAGCATTTCTGGAGACGAGAAGAAGCTAGTGACAGGCGGTTACGCGGGTATCTCTCTTCTACCTCGAAGCAGCTTGGTGCGCCGCCCTGGTAGCCGTAGCAGCCAAATGGTGCCGCCGAGGAAGCCGGAGGCGGGGGTCGGAGCCGAGCGAAGCGGAGAGGCCGCTGCCGCTGCAGCCACAGCCGTCTCCCTCGAGCAGACCTGGCAAGGGCAACGGGCCCAGCGAGGACGAGGCGGGCTCCGGAGCGGGAGCGGGAGTGGAGGAGACGAGGCAGCGTGGGAGCAGCGTGGCGGCGGCCGGGGTGCGGTGGCGCCTGAGGCGGCGCAGCAGCGCCGCCAAGGCCGAGGCCTGCGCCATGTGGAGAACCAGCCGTGGCTCTCGTAAATTTGGTCGTCTGCGGCGTCAGCGCGCGCGCGCGTGGGATCAGCAGAGCCGCAGGCCGCAGCGCGGCGGCGGTGGGTGGGAGGTAGGGGGAGGTAGGGCGGGTGAGCCGGGGGGCGAATTGATGGCTAATCGAAATGGTTTTGGATGGGCCGAATCACGTTGCTGTTGCTGTCCGAGGCTAAAAATCCACATTACCTTATGCTTGTTAAATATAAATAAATCTATAACTAGGTTATACATGATCGAATGAGTATGAAATTTTTACTACAGTTCAATCATAGAATAATTAGTCCACCATAAAAATTTCATCACAATTGGACCATAGAAACTGCAGCTATGAATTATTCCAATTAATTACATAAAAGCATAAATCTAAAGCTACAGCAAAAACTTTGTTCTAAATTATACCATATTATATGTTCACTATGTAGATCTACTCATGTGGAATCTAACAAAATTGAATTTTCTATTTTATAATTTTTCTGTGATTTATTATGATTTTTCAAAGATTCAGCTGGAAAAAAAAAAACAAAACCGCCAACACAGGGCCAGGGAGGTAAGATGAACGGTTTTAAAAGTTAAGGGAGGTGTTTTGTCCAGTTTCGGAGTTCAGGGAGGAAAAGCGTACTTTTGCGAAAATTGAAGAGGTAATGTAGACTTTTTCCCCTAGCTAATTCAAGATGGTTTCAAAAAAAACTAATGCAAGATGGGCTCCTCTCAAAAAAATAATAAAGCGCTAGTGCAATATGGGCATGGGCCAATGGGCAGCTGGAAGGAGTGTGATACGAAAAAGTCTATTTTAGTCTATCTAGGGCTAAAGAAACAAAAAAGTCTATTCTTTGCCTTTTTGATGAACAATAAAATAAAATAAATCTAGATATCCTACCTCTTAAACTCTTAAAACCATTCAACTTACCTCTCTGTTTGAGTTTAGAGTGGTTTAAAAGTGAGTTTGTCCTTTATTTAGGAAAAAAATGGTAAATGCTCAATAAAGTTTTTAAACTACAAAAAATATCTCTTAAGTTTTAAAAAAAAATTAATTTCAAGAAACTAGAGATAGATTGGAATACAGAGAAATCCAAATAAAGTATTTATAGCCCATGGCAATATCTCTATACGCTTTAAAAACTAGATTTAGCTCTAGATAGATGAAAAACATTTAGAAAATTATTGGAAATTTCTAAAACATCCTAACTGATTTGTACACGTGTTTGAAAAACTTTTCACAACAAAAAACGTAATACACGACCAGCGCCAATGCATAGTGTGAATGCATTCAACATTAATGTATATATTCATGTATGTAGGTTGCATCTCATATTTTTGTCATACAAAGTTTTTAAAACATGTTTATTAAGTTTTAAATCCAAAGAGGGAAGAGATGAGAATGAGGGGTGAGTGAGAAAGATAAGCTAGGAGAGATATGTTCACTCTTGGGAGGATTTTTTTTATGTTGTTGGATTTTTTTGGTTGGTTTGTAAGAGCGTAGCGGTGTGCTTCGTCGATGCGTTTGAATATTATTCAGCATACATGAAGTAGAATAACAATTATATGTGTGTATATAAAGTATAAAGCTAAAGCACAAACTGTCAACCAGACGAATCTTGATCAACTAACTGGTTCTTTTCTTTCTAAAATGTGTAAGGCAACGAAGGAACAAGAATATTTCCAAACACTGAGCGTGTGCAACTCCTTTCAAAGCTTCCCTGTCTCTAACGTGGAACAATCAGCTCCTTTTCCTTGCCCATATATATAGCCGGTCTACACAAGAGGGGATATATATTTGACACCGTGGCATTGTGGCGCCACCTTTTTATACTTGTATCACCCACGCAAATGTCTTACGAACACGATTCTCTACACTTTAGCACCTGTGACCAATGCAACGTCCACTTCATAGGATGATATAAAATATTCGGTGGTGGTTTTATTGGATTAAACTTTAATTTTCGCATGATTCTCCAATATCCACAATGGGATAATTAATTACTAACGTAGTATCCACTTTTCCATATGAAAGAAAAAAATCGATGGCTTAAATTATGATGATTTCCACGGCTGCGTCAAAGCGGTGTCGTAGGTTTATGGTACTATATATAGCGGATAGCAGCGGCTTTCTTACTTTACGACTATGCATGGGAAAGGTATCGCTACGAAGAATGGCATAGAACACATAGTTATCGCATAAGTTGCGATAACAAACTAAGTGAATAGACTGCTTGCGTACATCATGCTGGTTCATGCAGTTGTGACACAATATATTCATGCTTATTTGCACATTATTTCCCAACTTATTGATAACGGTCAAGATGCTCAAGGATGCTAGAACTTCAAAGGCTTTAACTTCCAAAACATGGACTCTTTTTTTTTACTTTGTTAGAAGATTTCAAGTCATTATTCTTCATAATTTCCTTTCATGGAGGTCTTCGTTATTATCTGTAGGGGTATTTTGACAGTGAGAAATGATCTAATCTTCAGGGGAAGATAACCTTCGGTGCAAAACTACAAATGAGTTTCTCAGAAGAACTGTGTCTGATTTTATTCATAGTACAAAGAGGACCAACACCTTTTCAGAAGAAATGCGTCTGATTTTACTTCTAGTAATCACCGCTAACTAAGGGCCATTTGACGCACACTACTGCACAAAATCTTTTAGACAACGTTTCACAAATGGGCTCTGAGGCGGTTGGCCTGGTTGCCCGCCTCGATTATTCGAGGCAGGGCAGCCAGGCCAGCAACCGCCTCGGTTAATCCTTAACCGAGACAGGCGCTCTAAAGAAACCACCACGGTTAATGAGGATTAACCGAAGCGGTTGCCAGAGGATTAACCGAAGTGGTTGCCCTAAGCCAACCGCATCGGTTGTATTAACCGATACGGTTTCCTTATAGTGCCTGCATCGGTTAAGTCTGGGCTATAAATGCAACTGCACCCACCCTTCTTCCCCACGGCTTCTCCTCCATTTTTTCGAGTTTTGACTTCAAAACCCTAAAAATGACCATTTTCTAGAGGAAGAGGTTTTGCCCTTAGATTTGGTGAAGGGGGGCACCGCAAGAGGTTGATTCTCGCTCTCAAACCCTCAATCATCTCTCTTTTCCATGATCTGGGTGTTTTTTCTCAAGATCTAGATCTAGATCTAGATCTATTTGGAGGAGAGAGAAAATTAGATCTAGAGCTACCCAACTGCTTTTTTCATACTGCTCTGCTTCGTGCAACTAATTAAGGTCATGTTTGGATCTATAAAGTAATAGTTACCTGCTAATAATTAACTTATTCGATGTAAAGAGATTTACTAGTTGAACCAAACTGGATAATAGCAACTAATATTAGGTATGATCTACTATAGTTTAGTGCGCCGTAGGACCACTGTTCTACGTGAACCGGAGGTTAATTCGCTGTGTACGTGGACCACGGGACTGACATCCAGAGCGAGTGTGGTGTGTTGGAGTTAGCCTGAGCGTTGAGTGGTATCATCGCGGCAAAAACCACGGGAGGCCGTAGCGAGCCTGCGGTGCGTGGTGGCGTGAGCGTGGGTTCTCTTCCACTTCTCAGACAGCAAAGATGAGCATGCAATGGAATGGAATAAAGAGCTAGGTAGCTTTCCTCTCGATCTGTCCTTCTCCTTCCTTCCCCTACAACCATCAACCAGAGCGGGGAAAGAGCTCAAGAAGCTTCATTGCAGCTTCCACACAATCTCTTTCGCTTGACAGAATAATTAATCCACATCCGTCCTTCCTTTCAGCTGCAGCTTTATCATCTCCCTCTGCCCGCTGCCGTGCCGTCGTCTGCTCGTCCGAATATTGTTCGTGTTCCTCGCGTGCGATCGAGCCGCGGATTGATCCCTCTCGCCGCGCACGGCGTCTCGATCGATTGCCGCTGCAAGGTGTTCCGTCGCATGTTACTGCGGGCCAGCAGGCTGCCATCATCAGCCAGCGGCGGCAGCAGCTGCCTCGTCGTCTGCGGCGCATGGGCAGCGTGCTCGGCGCGTTGCTCCACCGGCGGTCTGGGGGAAGGCCGCCGGCGCAGGGGCAGCAGGGCACGAGGCACCAGCCCCGGGGTCTCACCCGGCAGCCGTCGGACTACGACGCCACCGCCGCCGCAGCCGGCGGGCACCGGAGGGCGATGCTGTCCAAGAAGTACTCGTACATACCCGACACCTTCACGTCGCTTGATCAGGTTCCAGCCGCCGATCCATCTCCATCATCGAGCTAGCTCCAGCGTGCCTGTCGATGGCACTGCTTGCAAGTTGCAAACCGATAAACCAGGTTGTCAATTGTTGGCATGGTGTTTGCAGGTGGCGGCGGCGCTGCGGGAGCAGGGTCTGGAGTCGTCGAACCTGATCCTGGGCATAGACTTCACCAAGAGCAACGAGTGGACAGGGAAGCAGTCGTTCGGCGGGCAGAGCCTGCACAGGATCGGCAACGACACGCCCAACCCCTACGAGCAGGCCATCAGCATCATCGGCAAGACGCTGGCTCCCTTCGACGAGGACAACCTCATCCCCTGCTTCGGCTTCGGCGACGCCACCACCCACGACTACAACGTCTTCAGCTTCCACCCCGACAACTCGCCCTGCCACGGCTTCGAGGAGGTCCTCGCCTGCTACCGCAAGATCGTGCCGCACCTCAGGCTTTCAGGGCCGACGTCGTTCGCGCCCATCGTGGAGGCGGCCGTGGACATCGTGGACAGGAGCGGAGGGCAGTACCATGTCCTCGTCATCGTCGCGGACGGGCAGGTGACCAGGAGTGTCGACACCGGTGACGGCGACCTGAGCCCGCAGGAGAAGAGAACGGTGGACTCCATTGTCATGGCAAGCTCCTACCCGCTGTCCATCGTGCTGGTTGGGGTCGGGGACGGGCCCTGGGACGACATGCGCAGGTTCGACGACAAGCTCCCCGCGCGCGACTTCGACAACTTCCAGGTGAACTGAATACCAGCTGCTAGCTAGCTCCGGAACCTCCGGCATCCACATCCGAGCTCATCAGCTCTGAAGATGAACCATGCTCAGATCGATTTCAGTTCAGATGCCAAACACAACACGTGACACCGTACCCTCACTGAATGCAGTTCGTGAACTTCACCTCCATCATGTCTCGGGCAGCCACCGCGCAGCAGAAGGAGTCGGCGTTCGCGCTCGCCGCGCTCATGGAGGTGCCCATCCAGTACAAGGCCACCATGGAGCTCGGCATCCTGGGGTAATGCATGCGTTACAGAATGCGCTCATGGTCATGGACCTCCATCTCCATATGCCATGACAAGTAGTCTGAAGCTAGCTTTCTGAACATAGAATCTCTCTGTGGTGTCTGAACCTGAACCTGAACGCATGCAGGCGACCCACGGGGAACGCCAAGAGAGTGTCCCCTGCGCCGCCGCCTCTGCCGCACGCGCAGAGGCAGTCGTCGTTGAGGAGGGAAGCCAGCAATGTTGGCGCCGCCGCAGCGCCAAGAGATGATCAGGTCAGATGAGCCAGCGTGTGCAATGCAGGGTTGTCGAATTCAAATTTCTTCTTGAGTTTGCTGCAAACTCGTGGCCTGACCACACAATGTCTGTGTGTTGTTGATGCAGGTGTGCCCAATCTGCCTGACCAATGCCAAGGATCTAGCATTCGGATGTGGCCATATGGTGAGGACAGATTCAGAGCTTCTATTTTCCATTATTTATTACAAATCCAATGCAATTGCAACCTTTAGAAACCAAGGAAAAGAAAAACCTCATTTATATCCTAATTTTCTTGTGCATACGAGCAACAGACCTGCAGGGAGTGTGGGGAGAGCCTCACCAGATGCCCGATTTGTCGACAGCCGATACGGTCAAAGCTGAGGCTATATTCAGGATGAAATGGTTAATGCTAAAACAGAGGCCATGTGGGAAAAAAAACAAGAACATAGCTTACTCGCCGTCAAAATGTACAGAACGTCAAACGAACATGTAACAAGCAACGAGTCAAGGTCGAGTCCCCTTCATCTCGAATTTGCATGAACCAACGTTTCATTTGTGACAAAAGGTTTTAGTTTTCGACTGATTCGATTTGTTTGGTTCTTGTCATGTTAATTTGTAATAAGTATATATACTAGAGGAAGCTCAGCAAGGCACGTATATACATATAGGTGTGTGTGTGTGTGTGTGTGTGTGTGTGTGTGTGTGTTGTGTTGCAATGGTGAAAAATAAATAAAAGGAAATGCAAGGCAAACATTTGGCTGTAACACAAAGACATTTGGTTAACACTGCTGCTGTTCAGCTTCACGTCACTGATTATATCCTTTTGATGATGGAATACTAAATGTGTGGCAATTCCGTTACTGTCTCAGTGTAAACGTGGCCATAAAACGCGATAAAACCAACCGTTTCTGCTGCACACGCCCTTTGTGCTGCTGCTGCTCTGCTGCTTGTTCCGGTTCATCTTCTTCTTCCTCCCTATAAATTTGATCAGACTGCAACCAATTCTTGGTCATGTTCTATTGTTCTCTGCCAAAACACACACACATCGCTTGCATTTGCAACAAAACCACACAGGAAGATAGGCTTCTTCTTGCAGTCTCTGATCTAGAAGCCTGAAGAGATGGCATCACCCAACGTCACATTCCTCGCCATCTTCGTCGCCCTCGCACTATCAGTGCTTCACACTGACGGTAAAGACTCTCTCATTTTGGCTGGCAGCCAAGTTGTAGTCATCAGGGACTGATAAATTCCACAGCTTATTCACTAACCTGACACTGATAAATCCCATCTTCAGCAGTAGCGGCAGCAGCAGAAACCTTGCGCCATAGAAGCAAGACATGGTGCGTCGCCAAGCCGTCGGTGGATGAGGCGGCGCTGCGGGGCAACCTGGAGTTCGCCTGCTCCGAGAGCGACTGCGGCGCCATCCAGGGCACCGGCGGCTGCGCCCGGCCGGACGGCCTCCTGTCGCGGGCGTCCGTGGCCATGAACGCCTACTACCAGGCCCGGGGCAGGAACTCGTGGAACTGCTTCTTCAACGGCACCGGCCTCATCACCATCACTGACCCCAGTGAGTAGATTGCCTTGCTGTGAGCGTCTCGGTGCTTGTCAACTGTGTTGGGGGCTGACACGGCTGGTGTTCTTGCAGGTCTTGGCACCTGCAAATATGCTTGAGATGGATGCATGGGAGGAAGAGGGACTGCCGCGCCGCTGAACGATGGATCTGAATAAGATTGTAGGGGATGATGATGCGTGTTTTTTTTTATTTGTCCATTATGTGAGCAGGATTACAGAATCAGAGTTGCTAGAATTCCAATGAACATTTAGCATTTATATGTCTAGAGAAATCCCAAATGAAGGCAGGTAGCAGATCCATTAAACAAACAAAACTAAAGCACAATTCTGGCGTGAAATGATACCAAGTTGATACTAGAAACATTGTACCTTACAACAAAGGTTAATCCTAAACCAACAGGTCCTTTCAGAACATCAGTACACAAAAGCCATATGAGACAGAATTGGAATTATTGTTTACAGAGTTAACAAGTAGAAAATTTGAAAAGATAGAATGAAGTTTCTACTGGCATTCATTCTCCACACTCCTCAGCAAACCTGTTATGGTAGATATTGGATTTTAGTCAACACAAACGGTGCCTCATGGAAAAACTGAAGTTAGATCATATGGCATATGCTCAAGTTACATATGTTGTACACCTAAAAACCATCTTATCTTATGAGCTAAATCGGTTTCCAACACTTGTAATGTTGGCCATATGCAAAACCAAGCAGTAACTGTTGGAACCAAATAAAAATAAAATTAACATTTTTTTATAACGAAAATTAACATTGATAGTGCACTGAGAGGTTGTCGAAGAAATTCATCTGAACTTACATTAATATAATTAATCTAGCCTCTTAAAATTTATACAATTGTCCGTTGCTTCATTGAACAGCACCTCAACCTGCTTCAACTCCCTTCCTGCAACGCAATGAGGTGCACCATATCAGTAATTAGCCATATCATGCTAAGAACTCCACCTACATGTATGAACTCTATATAGTGAGGATCATGTTACCAGCAGCTTCAAGTTGCTTCTGGAGCTCCAATCCCACGACTTCATTCTCTGCCTGCAAATTTCAAATTTGTATACAATTTAATGTACGAGTTTGACAGATGCCCATCCTTGAAAAAACAGTGATTAATAAATTAATCTGACTGACTGATATCTACCTGTAGCTCTTGGATTCTTTTCACTTGATCCTCTTCTGATGATAGTGGCAATGCCGCAACAAGTGCATCAAACTGCATAGAAGGCCATAATTAATACTTTCTAAGGGGGGGAAAGTTGAAAGCAATCACAGCAAGCACATTTTTGAACAAAAGTTTGCTAGGCAAAGGAATGGTCTTTGTTCCAACACATTTCAACTATTGGAGTAAAACTCTTATGCAATGGAAAAATGATCAACACAAAGAACAGGTTGATCTTTTCTGGGAAAAATGACTGTCGTGTTGTTAGTCAGAATCACTATACCACCCACTATATCTTTTGTGGGAAACATGACTGTCGTATGCATAATGCATGATTCTACCGTCTGTACAACTGTTGGAGTAAAACTCTTATGCAATGGATAAGCAAGAGATGAGGACTAGTAAGTGGCAACACAGTTTCAGTGGTGGTTTTGTCATTTCTGGGCCTTACTCCACAGAACGCAGGCAAGCAAGTAAAATTAAGCAGCTAGTCCTTCATTGTTCGCAGCATCAGACGTGAGACAAGGGAAACTACAAGGCAAGCTGAAATTTTCTCCGTAAACCACACAGAGACATTTTGGAATCCTCGGGCAGGCATTTGGTCGAGCAGGTGGCGAGGCCGAGAAGAGAAGAGAAGAGGGGCAGGGTATCAACCTTCTTGGCCGCGAGGACGAGGGCGTGGCTCATGGCCTTAGGTTGCTCGGAGAGGTCAGGCGCGGGTGGCTGCGCCTGCGCCGGCGGCGGCGGTGGCGGCGGCGCGCCGGGCTGGGCCTGGACCTGGGGCTTGGAGTCGTCCTCGGGCTTAGGGTTGGGGTTGAGTGGGTCCGGGTAGCTGCTGGAGAGGCGGTCGGGCGGCGCGTCCCGCTGCAGCGTGCCGAAGGTGTTGACGGCGAGCACGGCCATCTCGTCGAGCTGGTCCTGCAGCTGCGTGATGATGTCCATGGCGAATCCCACCTCCACCTCTCTCCGTCTCCTTCCTCCCCTCCGCCCTGTCCTTAGCTGGTTGCAGGCGGGCGAGGCGAGGCCGGCGGCTTTATTGGACCAGGCCGACTTCATCCTGGAGTGGGCCTGAAGGGCCCAGACCAGAGAGTATGGGCCAGGCCGGTGCCTGGCTTTGCAGTCTTCTCCGTCTAGGTGTGCGTGTGTTTTAATGATTTTTTATAGCATTTAATTTAATAAAAACGTGTCTTTTTTTCTTATCGGGAATTAATGTATTTGTAAATACTTAATAAAGAATATTAATTTGTCTTTTGAATACTAACCGTAATTACACTCGGAATCCTTACCAACAACGAGTCGTTAATCGTGCGGTTAACTAGTCAAACACGATCTAATCGCGGATTATATATATCGAGTGCGCGCATAATCCTTCAAAATTTACATTGCATCATTATCATATAAATCACGCAGAAGAGAGAGAAAAAGCAAGAGCGCGGGAATCGTATCATCGACAAGCGCCAACGAGAGGCATGGCTCCCGCCGGCGCCGAGAAACCCGCCGACGCCGCCCCGGTGCCCGAGCAGGAGGAGAAGGAGGCGCTGTTCGCGGCGAAGCACGAGGAGCTGGTGTCCGAGGCGCGGGACGTGGCGCGCGAGCACGGCGTCGCCGTGACCACTGTCGCGTTCCGGCCCGACGGCACCGCGGTGGCGGACGAGGCCGTCGGCGTCGGCGTCGGGCTGCAGGAGCAGGTGCGGGCCATGATTCAGCGGGCCATAGCGAGGAAGGTGGCGGCGATGGAGTCCGGGGAGTTGGCCGCGCACCGGAGGGAGCTCCAGATGCTGAGGGGCATCGTGGTCGGCGAGCTGACGCAGGCCAATAAGGTGTTGCCGGGACGGAAGGAGACGGACAGCAGCAGGTGATGGACGGCGACGCAGGCGCTGGCGCCGGGTGCAACAAGACCAGCAAGGTGGACTAGCTTTCCCTCATCGGTACTGGGATCGGATTGGCCGTCCAAATTCTTTGTCATCAGCCTTAAGCTGATTATTGATCATTATTTTTTTTGTTAATTTGTTGAGTTGATTCTTTTTATTATTATTATTATTATTTTGTTAATGTGTACCGTGGTTGTGCTGTACACTTTCACCTTGGGAACGATTTGTTGGTGAAAGAATAAAGGAGGAGGACAAAAACACATTTACATGTATTGTTCCTGAAATTAATTTTCTTTTCTCGATATCCTTTTTTACTCAAATCTCCACCTTCTCATGTTCAACTCCGATCTCCCCCTCTCATTTTTATCTCGAGCGGGCTGGGTAGCATCATCAGCATGATGGATGACAAATGACGAGGTTTGTGTGGGTTTTCACAAATGTTGAGGAGACAGTTATCAATAAATTCTTAAACCAATGTTAGTGGCAAAGCTAAAGCAAATTAGTGATGATGTACTTGCCTTGTGTGTGCACAGACCTATACTATAGATGGTGCATATATGGTGAAAATTTAGGACAACAATGTTTTGAAAAGAGCAGGAAAATGTGAGTTTCATGTAGATAAAATTCTCTTGGCTTGGTTTTCCAAGTCTAGATGAGTCATAGAATTAAATATCTATATCTATATGAAATAAAAAGTTGAAACTTCACACCGTAATTGTTTGTCTCATCTATATTATACTGCATTGTATATTTTTATAAAACAACATTACAAAACTCTACACTGAGAATGGCTTTAAAGGAAACTAGGGCAGGGGCATTAGCACTTGCTTGGTCCTGAGAGAAAAAAAACTCTACCTACGGTAAAAATAAAGATTGGTCCACGGTATGTATTTAAGAAGAAGCGCTTCTGTGTAGGTTTGAAACAACTCCAAGGCCAATTGTCCTCGATGTACCACTCAGAACTTAAGAACGCATGACTCTGACCATGCTAAAGATGGCTTGCGTGGTCACAAAGAAAACTCAAGATCATAGCTAAAAAGAAGATTTTTTTTTCCAACTAGACATGTGCCCGTGCGTTGCACTGGGTCCATGGATTTTTCTCATGTCTATGACGATGCATGTGACTTGCAGCTTAGACGAATATATTAAGAATTAAGTCTAGGGGTACAGTCGGGCATACATCCTGGCTACAATACTACAGTTTGAAATGGATAGGAACGCTAGCTACTGCAGAAATACGATAACTGCTATTATTACATCCACAGAAAGCAGTCAACAGAAATACAAAAATGGTTCTGCATTGGTTGTAGCCAACTTTTATGAACTTTTGTGAGGACCTAATTCAGTTCAGAAACGTAATTAAGTTATCAAGCAAATTAGCAGTTTACATGGGTGCCTATCCATAAAGAAAGGATAGTATTAATTAATCAACTTGGGTTGTTTATCTGAAAGGCAGTCAGTCGGGCAACATGTCAATCAACTTGGGCTGCTACCGAGGAATTCTTGAAACCTTTCTACTGCGTCCCTGTCTTTTGCATCTGCTGCCGAGGTATTTCAGTGGACATGGAAAAGGCCACAGAATGTCATGACTACATAGGCTAACTGCACAGGCTACAGGAGCATTTCGTCGAGCAGTTGGGCTGCGAGTGGTGATAGTAGGATACAGGGCAGGCGGATAGCTTACCAGGGTCTTTCCGGAGATAGCGGCGTAGACGGCACGGAAGTCGCGCTCGGAGAGGGGGCCTCGGGAGAGCAGCGCCTGCAGTAGGGTGTGGTGCTGGCCATGTACGAGATGGACTTCATCGTCACCACCATCCTCCGCCACTCTAAGGAGCTCTTCTATGTGCGCCTCGCCAGCAGCGCGCTCCGCGGCAGGCCTCGCGGTGGTTGTGCGGTGCAACGAGCTCGCGGTCGTGGACGGCGACTGCTACCGCTGGATCCAAGGTATCGAGTGTGCGCGCGCCGCCGGTCTTCTCAACCGCGTCGTCAGGCGTTAGCTCCGGCTCGACCACGCACACGGGCGCAGAGACGTGAGCGCGTCCTGGCCGTCGTTGCCGCTGCCGCGCAGGCCCCCCACGCGTGGAGACTCGTATCGGACTCGGTGGCGCGCGCACCAAGGGAGTTTGACGAAACCCCTCCGCATTTTTTAGGTGTAACAGATATATGCTTATTTATATATTAGCTCACACGGAACATCGAACCTGCAACCATGGTGCCATTGAAACTGAAGCTCTGCTATAAACAGTTGTCCTGAATGTCTATGGAAATCTAATGTTGGAGCATATAAACCCTGTTTGTTTCGGTTGGTTTAGCTGATAAGTCATGACTGAAAGTATTATTGGCTGATTTGGTGTGAGAAAAAATATTATTCGTTGACTGAAAAGTATTGCTTATAAGCCAAACAAACACAAGCGAATAGGGCGATAGATGCTAAAAGAGGATAAAATATTTAACGGCGAGTGTCCAGATGTCCGGACGCTGCTCCAAAGCTCGCGTTGTGCTCATCCACAGCCTTGTGCCTCTTTCTCTTAAAAAAAAGCCTTGTGCCTCGCTAGCCGACGTGGCATATTTGCATCCGTAAGCCATCCCTATCCGAAGGCCAACACTAGTTCCTGATCCTTCACTGCTGCCCTACTCCCAACTTGAGCAGCTGGAAGGGAAAGGACCTAGATGGCCGTGCCGGACCTCGATGGCGGCGTTGGAGGCGGAGGAGACACCGAGGCGACGCAACAGAAGGCGAGGAGAAAGATGCGACGCCGATCTACTTTTGAAATATCCAAATGCAACACTTTGCAACATATGTCTTAAGAGTGATGAAACACTTGAAATATGCATCTGAAACACTTGCAAAAACACCGAAAAACACTTGAAAACATTGTAAACATACACAGCATCAAGATAAAAACACTTACAACATATGCACGAAACATATACGACATCCAACATCCAGATAACCACACTTGCAACATATGTCTGAAAAAAAAAAAGATGAAATATTAAGAACAAAAGCTTGCAGCATATGTGTACAACTATTGCAACATATGCAACATCCTGATCTACTTTTGTAACATTCATATGAAACACTTGCAACATATCTATGAAACATCTGAAACACTTGAAACATGCGCTTTGCAGCATGGGGGAGCCCAGGGCCGGTCGAATCCAGTCGTTGGGGTTGGAGCCAGCGACGAGCGGCAACGCGCAAGCACCACCAGCAGCAGCGGCGGCGTGAGCACGTGCCACCAGTGGAGAGGAAGGATGGTGGCAGGTGGGCGCCCACCGCGGCGGGGCAGTCGCGGCACGCGGCAGTGGTGCTCGGAGTCTAGGACCTCGACGATTGGAGGGTGGGGTTTTCGTTCTGGAGAGTGGTCAACGACCGAATGATTTCTCAATAAAAAAATACGAGCATAATGGAACACACTTGTTGACTGTTTAAGCCAGCATCGTAGCCCACAACAACATCAGCGTCCGGACATCGGACGCCCACCCTTAAACATTTCCGAATATTTAAGTGCATCATAGACTACGTAAATATAGTTGTGCTTGTGCATAACAAGTTTTTGGAAGATTTAGTGTGTTTTTAGTATAGAAGCTGTGTATGCTTGTTTCCGCTCGCTCAAACGAGGTACAAAACATGCTAAGGCCTCGTTTAGTTGTGTCGATTCGGTGCCGATAAAAATACTGTAGCTACACTGTGGCGTTTTGTTTTTATTTGGTAATAATTGTCCAATCGTTGACTAATTAGGATTAAAACGTTCGTCTCACAAAGTACAACAAAACTGTGCAATTAGTTTTTGATTTCGTCAACATTTCGTATTCCATGCATGTACCGCAAGTTTGATGTGATGGAGAATCTTTTTTTTATAGTGCCAAAGTTTGAAATTGGGGGACTAAACACCCCCTAATTTGACAAGACATTTTTGTTCTCTAGCCCTCGAAAATCCAAATGATCAACCTTTTGGAAGCTATTGTATAATATATATAGAACTATTATTCTTTAGCTGGCTATAAAAATAACTTATTCTGTAGTCATTTTGAGTTACGATAATTACTATATTAATTTACGAGATTATAGTAACTCTTTACTAAGTGGTTTTTTATAACGTTATAGTAAATATCCTCATGTGTTATAGTAACCTAACTATCGTAAATATGTATTGATATTATCGTAAATTAGTATATAAAATTATCATAAATGGAGGTAGCTTTATTTTATAGCTAGCTACTTAATATATAACGTCCTGCGTCTGCGTCTGTAATTATGTAATTCGAAAAAAACTAAAATGGTAGACGAACTTATTGCCGTGCCTTCTTCACCAATAAGGCAATAAAGGAAACTTGTTGGGATAAAAATGGCGTATTGCACGCAGCTGAGCCGTCCAGTGTAGCCCGCAGGCGATGAAGCGCTTCTTCCAGCCTGTGCCCAAGGACGGCTCCCCGTCGAAGAAGCGGCACGCGGCCGCCGCCGAACCGGGCGACGGCCCCGCCTCAGCCGGCGCTGGCGCTGGCGGGGATGGAGAGGGGAGGCCCGCCGAGGAGCCGCGCAAGTTCCTGACGTGGAACGCCAACAGCCTGCTCCTCCGGATGAAGAGCGACTGGCCCGCTTTCTCGCAGCTCGTCGCCCGTCTCGACCCCGACGTCATCTGCGTTCAGGTGAGCGATCTGGTCCCTCCCCGACCCCGAGCCCGGGGGGGTTCAATCCGCAAGGCCACCCGCTCTTCGGAACCACCTGTAGGCGGGCCGGCGGGGCCCGTATGCTGCAATACAGGCGCCCCCCAGAGGCGTACCGTGTGTCATTGCAATGCAGGCATTTTGTCGAGTAGGTTGGGGGCGTACGGTTTTGTGCTCCCTTTAGGTAGAGACTAGTGCAATGTTTATGGTCAGCAAGGGTTTTAGATTTTATCTCTTACAGCTTGTGGTGAGTGTCATTATCCCTGCACGTATTCTCCGGCAAAGTAAAAGCACTGAGACATTGGATTCTATTTTTT